GGAGAGCGAGTGGCGCTCTCGCCTGCCGACCGATGATGGATGCACGCGAGTATTAGCGCGCCGCCTCCTCAGACCTCAGTCGCAAACCTTCACGAGACCGGTGAGGCGGCTGGACAGCTCCTCGAGCGTCAAAGAATCTTGAGAGAGAGATTTTTTGCAAGAATCTTTGCTTAGCCTCATGTGTGTCCGCCTTGCGTTTGTTTCCTCCTTTACTCCATCTCAAAGAAAAAACAAATTTTGCCAGCACACGCGTACTTTCTCGAGCTCCCATAGCACACACAGACACGCAGCCCCTTCCCCTTCCCCCTCAAGACCGCAAGGGCGAGGACACGCGTCGGCCGCACCTCTAGCGAAGCCCACAGAGTGGGAGACTCCTATCACCGCCCCTGCCACCCACGGCGTGAGCCTTGGCCGCCTGTCAGTGTGCCCGTGATAGTGAGAGACTGCCAGCGAGAAGCCGGAGGAAGGTCGCTAGTCGAGAGAGATCGCCAGTGGAATAGGGAGTCCACCGTGCTGCGAACCTGTCGCTGTCCCTTTTGTCAGTAGCAGGAGAACTAGGAGAGCGCAACCAGTAGCGAGTAGGAGGCCCGCGCCTGCCCCCGTGCCGCCGGGTGCAACTTTGTCCTATACGAGAGAGGAATCCCTGGGATTTTGTCGTGTGGGTGAACCCCGCCCAGCCCCCCTCCGTGTTGGGCGATGCGCTCCCCGCTCCCGTTCCCCTGTGCCCTGATCGTCCTTCCAAGATCCTGCTCGCGCAGGTGGGGACCCTTCTCCCACCCTTTGTTTGGTGTGTCCGTTTTGACCGCGCAAGATATAAAGGGTGGCTAAGGGCTCTGCCCGTAAGGCGCCCGCGTCGCACACGCGGTACCATTGACAAATCTGCAATATACCCCCACACGAACAAATAGCAAAATCCGAATACCGTGCAGAAACCATGTGATCTGGGCCGGGCAAGCCTTCAGCTGGTGCCAAAATAAATAAATAAAAACGGACACCTCTCTAAACTGTGAGATGGGTAAAAAGGAACAGGTCCCCGCCCTTGCGATCTTTGTACAGGGTTCTTTGTGGGTGTGGTCGGCGACTAGCCGGGGTCGTCCTCCCGATGGGGGACTAGCACTAGCCGTCTTCCACATGGTCCCTCGGGTCCCTGCTGCTCGTAATCTCTTCGTACATCCTCCTGCTGATCTCCGCAAAGTCCTGCTCCCTCCCTCGTCTCGCCCTGCGCGTCTGCTCCGCCTCACCGTCTTCTGCCCTGCGTCGTCTGGCGACGGTCCTCCATAGTCGGTCGAGGTCGCCGCCCTCCTCGTGCCTCTTCCCAACGTTCCCTCGGCGGCCGATGCCGTCTGCTCCGGCTCCCCAGTCCCCGGGTCTGCCCTGCTCTCGTCTGCGCTAGTTTCTGCTTCGTCCTCACCGGCGTCTCTCATCTTCCTTCTCCCCTTCTTGTATGCTTTGCACATCGCGTCGATTCCTTTTCGCGTGAGCACCACCCTGAAGCCCGCCCAGCATCTGAACCGCTCCCTAAGTCGAAGGAGCATCATCAGTCTCACCCACTTCGCTCTCTGCCCACCGTCTCCGCTCCCTCCCTGGTGCCAAGACATCCTGATAAACAAACTTTAGGTTGTGCTAGTGAACTGAGGAGAAGCGGGTCGAGCCTCGGCGCAGAGGGCAGCGCCTAGCGGGCGGGAACCCTTACCCCGCGCCCGCCGCTGCCCGCCGCTTTGTGCGCGGGACCTCCGAGCGACGAGGCTCATGACACAGCTCCCGACTAGCGTCGGCTCCTGCTCAGACAGGCGCCAACCTGTCAGTTCTCGAGCGAGAGGATCATTCAGCTGCCAACCCTCGCGGGCACGACGCCCCAGGACGCCATGCGCGCCGCCGGCGAGCTGGCCAGCATGAACCCAAGCGATTTCCACACGAGCCTCGAGACCGGTGACATCCTCATCCTGGAGAGGAGCTCCACCAAGAGCATCGCCTTCATCACCAGCATCAGCGCTGGGGAGGAGGCCAGAATCGGCCCCCGCAGCCGGGCACCCCCCGCCACGGGGCCGACAAGCTCACGGCTCTGCAGGGTCGTCGAGAAAGAGACAGTGGGCCTCCTCCGACAGCCGGTCGGCAAGCGGCGCAGCTCGCCCACGACGGGCGCGCGCGCGAGGATAAGCTCACCGAACGAAACGGCGGGCGTGGCTGGCAGCCCCAATCTCGGAACCCCCCCCCCCCCTGGGCACGCCCTGGGGACCCGCGCCGGCCCAGAGGGTCGGCCCTTTGCCTTTCGCCCGAATGCCACGTGCGCATCGGTGTCGCTCCCCAACGCCAACCTCGGGTACGATATGTTCGTATCAAACAGGTTAGAGAGGGGGGACGATCGATCGTGATTTCTCAAAAAGAAAAAGAAAAAATCAGACGCGAAGCTTCCTTCTCTCTTGACACGCTGCGCGGGCCGCGAGCTGTTTTTGAGCCCCCTGTCACGCTGCGCGGGCTGCGAGCTGTTTTTGTGGCCCTCCGCAGCCTCGAGTGTCGCCACGCTGATGATGTGCTTGAAGTCACGTGTTCTCTGTGCTCTGCTGATTTCGCCCGTCTCCGGTGCGTCGAGCCTTGACGGGAATCGTGCTGTCCGCCCGGCCGAGTTCACCTTTGGCGTGTCGCTCGGGCTGCTCGACCCTTTCCCCCGCGGCTCCTTCTCTTACGCGTACGAACCGGTTTACAACTGTGACTACGACCTGAATACGAGTACTTGTAGCCGGACCGAAGACTTTGACGAGCTGACGTGGCCGGTAAAGACGTACAAGATTGATGGCGGGCCGGACGCGTACTCTCCGTTCCTCGATGGTCTGCGGGCGACGCACGGCTTCAACAGGTATCAGGCGGGGCCGATCTTACCCGTCGATGCCGTACACTTTGCCATTGGCGCTGGCTTCACCACGTCGCGCAAGCGCGTCGAAAATGTGACGGCACTCAAGCTCAGTGCTCTGGCAAAGAGCACTCTGCAGAACAGCGTCTCCGACTTCCTGACGCGTTACGGTGGGTACTTCATTTCAGAAATCACGTCTGGGGTCAGCGCTTCGTGCGTCCATAGCTACAGTTACTACGTCACAGATCCGGATGGCCTTGCTTCCGGCCCTCCTGCTTCCCTCTCCTCCAAGCTCGAAAACATCACGGAGGATCTCTTCTTTGACAAGGAGATGGAAGCCCCCACAATGCAGCCCGGCTTCTTGCCTGGTGTCGGACGACGTAACGCTTACTGCACTTCCAGGGGGTCATGGCCTGGTTCGTACCCTCTCATCAACTCTTGGGTTCCGGCAACAGCGATTGGCCAGTACTTCCTCCTCTTGAACCGCTCGTGGACCAACACCTCTGCCGTTCGTAGTTCGGAGCGGAAGTACTCCGTGCAGCGGCACGCAGACGTAGCGGAGGTGAGGGAGATTCTCGCGAGCAAGGAGGCCGGCGAGAGAGCTCTGTTCGAACTGCCTGTGCTCTCAGTGGAAGTGTCGGACGCGCTTGCTGGTGCGTTAGCTAAGGTCGACTGGACCAGACGTGCGGCCGAATACAACCTGTATGAGGCAAGCTGCGCTTCCGTCAACCAGACTCTCCGTGATTCCTTGCGCGACATCAAATGGAGCAATTTCCCTCTTCGGCTTGGGCTGATGGACAGCGCCGCCTGGGGGGCGGTGCAAGACGATCTCGATAGAACGGGAACCTGTGCGTGGCAAAGGGAAGCAGATGCGCTCTACGAGTCGTTCCAAAGTATCATGCAGTATTGTCCTTTGCCGCCGCCGGCTCCGCCTCCACCCGCCCCGCCAGGGGTGCCGCCCGCCCCGCCAGTCGCCCGGGTGCCGCCCGCCCCGCCAGTCGCCCCCGTCGTCGATGGTGGCAGCTGCGGCATCGGCTGCATCGTCGGCATTGCCGCCGCCGTTTTTGTGGGCCTCCTCCTCCTGCTGGCGTGCGCGCTCCTCTTCCGCTTCAAGAAGGCCGGGGAGAACGGAAGCGGCATCAAGCCCGGGACCACCAAGACCGGATCCGCCGCCGAGTCTGCCTAAGCCTCCCCTGCTCTCCAAGAGAGCCAACTCCCTCGCTCTACCTCTGGGGCTGAGCGCGTCTAGCATTCGCCTCCGCGCACAATGTGGAGTGAGCCCTCTGTGTGAGCCCTGTATTGCCTCTCCGATTCATTAGCCCACCTCGCCCTGTTGCCTGGCGAGCCGCTCTTGTTCACATCTTGTTTGTTGTTTAACCATCGTTTGAGAGCGGTGAGATCCCTGTGTTGATTGATTAGCGTCTGCGCGTGCTATTTCTGGAGAAGGCGCTGCTGGTTGCGGAAAAGAACTTTACGACCGGGTGATGCTCTGATAAACCCTCCGGATCTTCGACAAAGGTCGGATATTTCTTTTTTCGAGAGAAGTGCAAGGTGTGAATAAGAGGTTTACGATAGGGCTACTACGACGAACTATGCGGCAATCGACTGGGCGCCTGGCGCCCGACCACCCCCGCGCAAAGACCTCGTAGTAGCCCTCCCCGTAACCGACTTGGCCGGACGTGTCCAGGCCGCTGTCGCCGCGCAGATCGGCGCGAGCAGTCGCTCGAGGGGCTCTACTGGCTGGCGGTGCTCAAGGGGAAGGCGCTGGCCGAGGACACGGTCGTCAACACCGACACCATCCCCGTGGGCTATCTCGTGGTCAAGGCGCAGTGGCTCAGGCTCGAGCAACGCGAGACAAGTGCGAGGGCAAGCTTCGCTCCTACACGCTGCTCGAGGCCGAGACGCTCATCATCGTGAATCACATGGTGCGGCTGGCGGGCTTGCGCTTCTCGCCCGGCCCGGGCGGCCCTGCGGACCGCCAGCTGAGGAGCGCGCGAGAGAAGCTCTATTATATTGGCCTACAGACGCATTACTCGCTCGAGGCGTGCTGCAGTGAAGACCAGTCTTATTGACTTGTTTGGAGGCGTCGATTTGTGCAAAAATGTGTGTTAGAGAGCGCTAGATGGCAAAATTTTCTTCGCCTCCGGCGGGGCCGCTCGCCGCGGGGCTAGAGAGTGACTTTTGTCGATGTCGGCTAGAAGTGCTGCACGTTTTTCAGAATTTCACCCGACCCCCCACCGTAGCAGGCGATGACCCATAAGGCGTCCTTTTCTCGCTCCTCGGGCTGTCAGCTGAATGAAGTTGGGCGATCTGACTTGCTGGCACGACTATGATCTATGTAGAGGGAGAGGGAGGGAGAGGGAGAGAGAGGGAGAGAGAGAGAGAGAGAGAGAGAGAGGAGAGAGAGAGAGAGAGAGAGAGAGAGAGAGAGAGAGAGAGAGAGAGAGAGAGAGAGAGAGAGAGAGAGAGAGAGAGAGAGAGAGAGAGAGAGTTTTCCGGCGGCCCCGGCTATGCACGAGTATCCAATCGACTCCGCGTGCGCCCTCCATCCTGGGCGATGCCAGGAGCACATGGACCCCACGGCGACGGCCTCGCTGCGCAGTGGCTCCCGCACTCATTCTCCTGGTGTACGTGGCCGTCATCGCAGCCTCGCTCTAGACTACCTTCCGTTCTGGGCCAACAAGCGCAGCAGCCCAGAGTACCTCTCGTCGTCTGGCCTCCCCATCGGGCTCACGCGGACGGGCCATGGGAAACATCTGTCTCGTCATGCTCATCGCCATCAACGTTCCCTTCTTCCTGGCCATGCACTCCAGCACGCCGTGCGAGACGGCGATTGGCGGCTGCAACACGATCTCATGTGTCTGCGCCAACTACCTCTTGGCTACGTCTTCATGTTTGTGTGTCTGCTCTACACCTCCCTGCTCCTCGTCCGCATGCTACGAGGCGGAGAGGGCGCCGCGGCGCGCGTGTGCTTGAGCTTCTGGACGTCGATGATTGGGTGGCCGCACTCGGCGAGAGGGCACAGCGACACGACCGAGATTGCATTCCCTACGGAAAGCGGGCTGAAATCCAGCAGCGGTGGACGTGGCTCCATGAACCACGGCTGGACGGAGCACAAGTCGCCCGACGGGCGCACCTACTACTATCACAAGGAGCGCGGCGTCTCGGCCTGGGAGAAGCCGCCCGAGATGATGAACGCTGCGCAGCTCTCGGCGGCGGCCATTAGCACGTCCGCGTGGAAAGAGTACACCGCGGCGTCGGGCAAGAAGTACTATTTCAACAGCGCGACGCGCACCACCCAGTGGTCGATGCCTCCGGAGCTCAAGGCTGCCGCCGACGCCGCCGCAGCCCTCGCCGCCGCCACCGCTGCCAAGGCTGCCGAGAGCGCGGCCGCCGCAGCCACGGCTGCGCCGGCGCCGGAGGCTGCCGGCGCCGGCGCCGACCAGGCGGCGGCGGTGGCGTCTCGCGCCGCGGCCGAGCGCGAGGCGGCGACGCAGCGCTTCATCGCTCTGCTCGCGGCGAGCGGCGTGGGCCCGAGGCGGACGCATGTCTGGGACGCGTCCATGACACG